AAAATTCCAAGAAGTAAAATAGTTCAAATGATTAAAGTAATATTAAGATAGTTCACATAGATTATTTCAAATATTTGAATTATTTTCTAAAAAAAGAATGAAACTACGTTTTAAGATAATTCAAAATGTGTGAATTCTTCACGTATTTCAATTATTTGCTTTAAAAGGAAAACAAGGAAATGTATCCAATTTCAAGGTCCACCTTGGCTANNGGCTAGTTTCCCAGTAAATTTCTTTTGAAATTTGCTTTTACCCTAAAAAACGGTGGATCTTTGGGGGGGGGGTTGCATATATATATATATAAGCTCGCCCCCCTCACATGAGCCACGCCTGCCCTGCCCAGATATGGAACTCATGACAGGAATCTAGATATCACACGCGCGTAACAGAACTTGCGCAATCCCTGAGCAAAAGTGTTGTCTCGTTCCTTAAATTCAAAGTTTCCCGAGTAGTTTTAACAGGTTGCAAAACAGGGATTTACAGCATATTGACTGGAACCAGTTTGGAAACCAGGGGTGCAGGATTCCAGCATTTCAGTAGTAGTTTTAATGGAATCTAAGGACTTGTATGGACCAACGCCAGCTCCAAACCCAGGAATCTAGAATTGCAGGATTTTCGCAGTAGATTTTTTATTTTAACACGGTTCATCTATTTGGACCAGGAATCCAGGATTTCCATATTAATTTTAAAGAATTTAATGGGGGAACTGTTTGGACCAAAACGAGCTCCAAAACTTAGGAATTCGGGATTCCCGGATCTCAGTCTTAGTTTTAATGACGTTCAATCAGGTTGAATCCTGATTAGTGCGGCAGGCTGCAATAATATGTGTTGTAGGCCCCCTTTCTGATGCTGGGCGCGCCAACATGGTAAATTTTTCTGCCGGAAAACAGCCTGAAGAAGGTTTTGATAAGGCCAAATTGGTTTTGCTTATAAACGTCAGGCCTTAAACAAGCACGGGATGGCTCTATTACCTGTGACAAAGGCTAAGCAATCAAATGATAAAAGGGGTAGGTCCAGCAGAGCGGCTGACCCTCAATGTTGCGCAATCATGCAAATGATGTGGAGGGATCAAGTATTTACAGTTTTTTTTGGTCGAGTTAATTGTGAGACCAAAAAGGCAATTAGATTTCAAGGCTGGGGCTTGAAACAGAAAAGCCAGGCTCTATTGCCTGTGGAAACTGCCCCTGATCTTCAATATTCCGCAACAATCTGAATGACCTGGGGGTTCAAGTATGTAATGTTTTTTGGTTGGGTTAATTGTGAGGCAATGCCAAATTGGTCTTAAGTGTTTTCAGTTCGATTTCTAGTTTGGTTGATTTGGAATAGATTTTCCGTGATGTTAGATAGATTGTAATTCATGCCAATAGATTTTCAAGGCCCGGCCGTGTAACATAAAGGCTGAGCTCTATCTTCAAGGACCCTGCCCTCCCTGTTCTCTTCAAAGCTAAGGTGAACACGTCCTTAGGAATTCATTGGAAGCCGTACCTTCCCTTGTTGATTTTGATGTGAGCCATAGGATCCCCCAAACCCCCCTAAACCCTGAACCCAAAACCGTTCGGGAGGCAACCCTTTCGGCGTGGGGGGGGGGGGGGGGGNNCCAAAACCAGCTCCAAAACCAGAAGTCCAGGATTCAAGGATTTCCGCCTTAGTTTTAATGACATTTATAAGGACCGAATCCAGCTCCAGAACATTACCACATTTTTGCAGTGCATTTTTGCATTGCATTTTCGCATTGCATTTTTGCATTGCATTTTTGCATTCCCAGAAAGCAAAAGTACCTTACTGTTCCAAAGAATTGGCTTGGGCAAGCCACAATTTTTGGGACAGTACAAACTCCAAAACCGGGAATCTAGGATTCTGGGCTTTCCGTATCAGCTTTAATTATTTTTCTGGACCAGAACCAGCCCCCCAAAACCAGGAACGCAGAAATCCCTAAACGTCCCAAAAACTCAGCATTTCGGGGATTCCCATGTCACTTGCATTTCTTCTTGAAAATGCAGAAAACACCGCTATTGAAGGCGTTTTCTCCATGGCAGATCTCAGACAGAAGAACACATGAACGGCAAGTGATCGTGTGGGGGGGAACCACATAATTTTGTATATATATATATGTATATATATATATATGTCTCTCTCTCTCCCTCTACATGGGTGTACATGTTTTCATACCTACAGTTAGCGGTTTAGGGAGAGGGTCGTTGTCAATAGTACTGGTCGTAGCAGTCAGCCAGGGCGATCAGCAAAAGATGGAAGTAGCAACAACGGCGGAATAGAGGTGGTGGTGTGAGAACGAGCCAGGCTGTTTCAACCATGAAGAGAGAGCAAAGTTGTGAAATTCATGCTGAAGATTGAAAAGAGAACATGGCATGAGCTCGACCCTTCGTAACGAAAGAGATTTCAAGGGGCTGTAAGCAAAGTATTGGAAAATCTGTCCTTGTGTTTCCTTGCATTCAGGATGCTGCCCTCGCTGGTGCTCTCAAAGCAAGCGCGCTGCCACTGCTTGATAGCCAGCAGCCCGGGGGTTTGCCAGATGAAGCATTTTCAAAATCAATGCTGCTCAGCATTCTGCGCAATGGTCAGGGCATACTAGTAGCTAGTTGATTGAGCTCTATCGCCAGAGAAGCATCAAATGTGAAATGGAAGAAGCCCTGTTGTTGTAGACTTGGCGTAGGAGGATTAAGCCCAACACCCTTGCTTTTTGAGGTGTCTTGCTGCCAAACTGTTCATGGAGGTGCAGCCTCAGCTTTTGCATTGACACGCGAGCCAATAATCGATGCCACCCTGCATCTTGTTACGCGTGCTCTTGTTGCCTTGGAAAGTTTTGCTGTTGTTTTCAATGCAGGTTTTGCACAGGAAATTTGGAGCATCCTGTTGAGTCTGCCACAGGAAGGCAGCGACAAATTCCAGCGGCTACCTGTCATTCGTTCTTGGCTCTTGGAATGGACTGGGGAACATCAGCGGATGTCCTGTGACATCCGTGAATGGCCATTGAATGCAGAGTCCCATTCAAACTGTAACTGTTGGGCAGCAATGGCTCAAGGCATCTGGCCCCAATGCGGGAGTTTGGCAGGTTTAAAGGGAGTGTTGGACATGCAAACAGTCTTTAAACCCCCCCACCCCTGTGATAGAAAGGATGGCATATATCTGAAATTCCAGTGTAGCGATGAGATGGATACCTTAGTGTGATGGTACTTCGAGATTTCACTGTCGTCAATGACCGTCTCCAGGCCTGGACAGTCGAACGGCAAGATTCGAAGGGGCGGAATGGCAATAGCCTCAGATGTATTTGTGAGTTGTGGGTCGCTGCTCGACACAGAGTTTGCAGCATTGACATGGACCAGGTCTGTGTCCACTCACTTCTCCGACGGCATTTGGTGCCACCGGCCGTGCTCAACGAGGTTTTGTTATCATTTGCTGTTATCATTACGACAATTACTCCTATGATTATTATGATGCCTATTACTATTAGTATTACTACGATTATTATGGGCATTTGGACAAGGCAGCAGAGCTCACAGTCTGACGAACCAGGTTTTTGTGGACTTGATGCCCATCCTAAAGAGTTGCCTCGACGACAGCTGGCATTTGGGCTTAGCTTATTCTTTGCAAGCTCACTCTGCTCCAGTAGCCCCAGCTTCAATCTCGGAATCCTATCTATCTGCAAAGGTCGCCAGACAACCGCATGGTTGCCTGCCTCGTGCTGTCCTGCACGCTTGCAGACTTGCAGGCCTCTTTGGTCCAAAGCAGTCTAGAATGGCGAGAAATAACCTTCTGTGCAGTAGATGCCAGAGCAGCGTCCTTGAGCAAGTGCCTCAACAGGTCCAGAAATTCTGTAGGTAATCCCTACAGGTGAAAATTCCAAAGCTCCTTTCAATTGTCCTGCCACATAGGTGCTCCAGATTGGGAAGCAGTCTTGTATCCGCGAACAGACTTCTTGCTTCGCAAGCTTCATGTAGATAGTGCTGTACACAAGCTGAAAACAGCCCAGTCTTTATGGTTTTCCAGCATGCCTCTGAGATCCTGAACCTCTTTGGCCTCTAGGGGCATTTTCGGATGCTCAATTTTTTTGGGGGTTCTGTTTATTGCCATTTCAGTTGTTTGATTCCTCCACGCATATCACAGACGGAGATCAATGGCGAGCAGCTCCGCGAGGTGCCTGCGGTCCGATTTCAACCTTTCTTTGGTGCTGGGTGGGTGGGTTTCGGACTTGTGTGTGGTATTGACGGTGAGATGGGTTTCAGGAGGTCTGTTCTTGATTCTCGCGATGTAGTCGTTTCAAGCGGGGATTTAATTTTCCGCAGCCAAACAACTTATCGAACCGCTATAGTCACTATGGACTTCGACCCCTTAAGACGGCCGAAATCACTCCATTCTTCCCTGCAGTTGGACTGTCTGCTTGTGCAGTTACAGCTCGTCTTTGCCAGGCAACAATTCCCAGAAAGTAGAGACCTTCTTGAGAGCATGAATGAGCCATGCAAGCAGTTGGGGGTGCGGGTGTCCGGAATCTAGCTGCCAGATTCTGCCCATGGGGGAATGGAGGTGGCTAGAGCTTTCTCATCAGAGACAATGAAAACCGGAGTGGGCACGGATTGGGAGATGGCCCAGCACGACTGGCGCAACAAATCTTAAGGTCGAGGTTGGTTATGGGCCATGCTTTCTACCAGGATTCCATTCAGCAGTACAGACATGCGCATGGGTTTCCAAGCTTCAGTGACATGGGTTTGTAAGTTCAGGGCGCCTCCGTTCGTATGTTGACCTGGTCTTGGTTGCAGGTACATTTTGGTGCAGTTGGTTTTGAATCTTGAGGACGTGAGGCGTGCGACATTTGCTTGAGGACTTTCCGTTCCGAACTGTGTGGAATAGAGGGGCAAGATGCTGGATCCAGTCGGAGGCTGTTGGTCTGCCTTGCCAGGTCTACCCAGAGCTGCTAAAGCGGCTGGATGACTCAAACGACAAGATTCGGGTTGCAGTTTGCGAGGCATTACTGATTGTGGCAATTGAAACTCGAACGTGTGCAATCGCTTGAGCTGCAGGCGCTTGATGTGTTCTTCAAGTGCCTTCCACAGAACTGGAGCCGTACCTTGTATGAGTGCCCTGCTGTTTAAGTCATGCCTTGACGAGGCCCTAACTTTCTGGGATTGCTGTGGGAGGTACATACTCCGCAACCTCTTTGTTCATCTCGATGATCCCAATCCGGAGGCCAGTTGCAAAGCCAAAAAAGTGAGACTTGCCACGGGCGTTCCAGTGGCAACTGACCAGTAAGGTCGCATGTGCAAAAGGCCCCTGAAGCTCTGTCCTGTCGCAGATTCAGCAGGGCATCTATGCGGTGCTTCAATCAGCAGCCCCACAGGCCAGCTCACCTTGCAGCTTGGACGATGCAGTGCCATTGGTTGGGTTACGCTGTTGTTGGGTTACGGGTGTGGAGCCCTTAACATTGGAGTACCACGCTTGTTTCTGACTTGCTGATTGCTTTGAAGGGTGCTAGTGTTGCTTTGGTGCACACCTTGTGTGCCACGGAAGGCAATGCAAAATACACAGAATGACTGCCTAGATGTGCAGGATGCGGCGACTTTCCTCAAGGAAGCTCAAACCGCTTCTGCCAAGAGCGCGCACCCTCGCTTGTCGGGCTCTTGGGGAAAGATGGTTCAGCGGAGCGTCTGGAGTCTTTCTCACCGTCCTCTTTTTTTCCTTTGAGTTTCCCGACAGATACAAACCTGCTCCACGTTAGTGAATCATACTAGCTGCAAGCAGTACAGTAGCAACACAAACCACAATTTCATAAATAAGAAGAACAGCACTGGAGGCCATATGGCCTTTTCCCACGAGGGACAATCCCCCTTGATGGATGTACATACCAGAAAATATTACAACCCATATCATAGGAACACTTAACTTCTAGAAATCCTAAGCCGAACGTGTCCTGATGTACCTGTATCAAGCCCATTGACAATTAATGCCTATCTCCAGAAATTCTTGATCTATGTATACCTATATACCCACGAAAAAATGGCTTTTAACCCGGGACCCCCCCAACATCCACAGGAAATTACCATTACTACTATTGTTACTATTATCAGTGTTATTATGCTGAGTACCATTGCTACTAGTAGTATGATGATTACTATGAATATTCTTCTTACTACTGTTACTACTATGATAATGACTATTCATATAAATCACATTGGTAAGGTGCGAGGAGCTGGTCCGCCTGGCCGACGGTTTGAAGGCCGGCCCGAATTCTTCGTGAGCTTTGAGGCTACCCTGTAGGTTTTAGAGCCTAGGGTTTAGGGTCTAGAGTTTTGGGGCTTAGGGTTTTGGGTGTTGAATTCAGGGCTTAGGGTTTAGGGCTTTGAGTGTCGCAGGGGGTCCGGGGCTCTCCAGCTTGAAATCATCCCAATGCCCGGATTTGTCAAAGGGTTAGAGAGATTGTTAGTAGTTCTTGATGAAGAAGAGAGGTCTTGCGTAGACATTGGTTTTAGGAGGCATGGCCAGGTGTGCTAATCTGCGTGAGATCTTGAAGCATGGACATCAATTTTGTCAGGGTGGTGCTGACTGACCCGCGGTGCCTGCTTCGTCGAATTTCTTTGTTGCACGTACTCCTGAGCAAATCCTGCTTCAAGTGTTTGTACCGTCTGCAGTGGCAAGAAGATCTTTCCGCTGCACGTTAGTGTCTTGACATGGGCTTGTGCTGCCATATATCACCATGGCAGCGGTCCATTCAGCAGTCATTTATTTCTTTTGTGAAGAATTATGCTGTGCAGGGCGGACCTGTACTTACAAAAAATGACTGCTGGCTATCTCATACCGCAGAGCTAGTGCATGTCTCCCTTGCAAAGTGAGCTGCATGCGTCAGCCACTACTGCCTCGTTCTCTTGACAAGGCTGCATGGTAAACAACGGCATTTTTCTTGTTGAGCCCCACAAAGCCATAAGCATCAATGAATCAACAATTGTGGACAAAGGCATCTAGTCTTCCTGAGTTGCTACCGTCAGTTAAAGCCCGAAGCCATGTGCTGGCGGTGCATAAGTATGTACATGTATGTATATCCAAGTCCTTGGACGAAATTAGTTGGATTCTGAGCTTGCCTATACTCCTGCAAGCTGCGTGTTTGGGCGTCTTGCTCGAGAGGCATTTGGCTCAGGCAGAGCACTTTCGATACCGATCATGATTTCTATGCTTCTTGTCTTGCAAGCTCACACTGGCAGCCTCGAAGTCCTGCTGGTGGCTGATAGCTGTATAGGTCCTGCCTTGACCAGGATCCTTGGGCTGCTGACAGCGTCGGTACTTGGCCGACAATGCCCCGAGGACTTTGCTGCAAAGTGCTGCAATCCCCCAATTCATGCGTTGCTTCAGTGTTCACCGTTGTCGTTGTCATCCGTTTGACGCACATAGACTGTAAAACAGTACGGACCCGGTGTGGATGGCAGGAGCTTCATGCCGTTTTTGCAGACATGCATGATGGTGACAAAAAAGAGGCACGCAGCCAGTGCAAAGACTTGTTTTGCCTGGCATTTTTGGGCACGCTATTTCTTACTGCTTTCGTGAGACCACCACAGCTTCCTTGAGTACGTGCTGTTGGTGCTGAAGCATGTTCTGCGCTCTTCATTACCATGATTTTTATACGTCTCTGTGACATGACTTGTTATTACTGTCACCGTTATGCTCGCCGCATCTTTGGTCATTCTAGCTGTGGTTGATTGCTACAGATTGTTGTTTCACTAGGATTGCATTTCAGAAGATCAATCTTGCATGCAGGTTACTATTGCATCTGGCAGTGTGACCATCAAGCCGAGCGGAAACACGCAGACATGGACTGTGAAGCTTAGATGCATGGGGCAGACTTTGCGAACATCTTTGTTCATGTGGAACGGGCGCACATTCTTTGAATACCATATCTGTGATTTTGGTCAGGAGGCTTTCCTTTTTACAGTCCCAACAAGAAAATCTACGTTTTGGGAAAGTGCTTTCTTGGTCCTGGAAAGGAAGGCGGATCTGGACCCGAAGACCTGCCAGGCGTTGATTGACTTCAACGTCCCCGGAAACCAAGCAATGCAATAAAGGTTTAATCGTTCCTGTTGGTTTCCCTGATGTTTGCCATGGGGTCTAGAAGTGAGCTGCCAAAGTGATGGGCATGTTCTTGCGGCGCGCGAAAGGCACATATTTATGCATGCGCAGAAGCCAAGCATGGACTGGGGGTCCATGCACTTGACATGGGAACCCACCTTCAAAGAGAGGACCCAAACCCTGGTTGCAGCCTTGAAGTTAACCTGGTCATGCTCTTCAGACATTGTTGCGCGTTGCACCTAAGGAAAGCCAAATCCGCCTCCCGTAAAACTGCTGATGACCTACTGGTGCGCGGCTGACTTGTTGAGAGCGCTCAACGGTCGAGGTTGTTGACGTGCTGGGTAGATCTTCGGATCCGGATATTAAACACTTCCACATTGGCAGCCCTTACAGTGCTGTCCTCAGCATTCTGAGGTCAGCCATAGGCGATGAAGCATCGACGGCCCAAGAGAAGGCCACATTCGAGTTCACAGATCCCAGCGGAAAGCCAGACCCCTAGAGCAATGTCACAGCTCGGCTGAGCAGAAGATGGATTCGTGGTATTTATGACAGGCTTAGGGTGCAAGTTGTGGCATTGGACCTTGGAGTGGAAACGAAAACGTTTAGGGACCCTGTCCCGGGAGCAATGGCTGTTGTGGAAGTGTGAGCCTTGTTTTCATCAATCCGCTCTAATCCCATCACTCATGCAGCAGATGGTTTGTTCGCAACATGAATAATTTGCCTGCCTTCTGCTTTCCTTGGCGCGGCAAAGCTTGCTCTACATGTGATTATCTGTGCTGTGTGTCGCGTGCGATGCTTAAGCCCCATCCATGAAGCAATACAGTGTTTCACCATGCGAGCTAATAACTGAGGCTTGCCTCCTCGCAGACGCCGCTGAACTCCTGGCTTTCGCTGGGTACTCCGAAACAGGCCGATGAGGGTGGCCCATCCGGCTTGCATGAGCTTCAGTCATGAGCTGTGTGGGGTGAAGCTTTTATCAGATGGTGCATGAAAGCATGTGAGGCAAAGTGGATGACATGCATATGTTTGCAGACAAATGTCATGCCTGGTTGCACCCCATGCGTGTTGCGCAGTGGGGGCTGCAAGGTCGAGCAATCGGTTTGCCCAGAGACTTGGACCGGGAAAGGCCATGTAACCTCCTTTGCTTGGCTTTCCTTCCTTTGCCAGTCTATGAAGATAGTCCAGGCTGCTTTCACAGAGCATAGGGCTTAAGATGGGATGATTTGCGAGATTTCCTTGACCTTTACTGGTAGTTGCTGAGGAGAGCCTGACTGCTGTATACTTGGACATGCACGATGGCGACAAGAAGGCAGGGGGCGATTGCCCGGCATCCTTTCAAAGCCACCATGATTGGCAGTCAATTCTGATGCAAAAGCTGGCACAGGCTGTGGACATTCAGCAGGGCAAGATGACCATCCGACCTAGCGGCAACAATCAAACCTGGGTCACAAGCTCAGAAAAGCAGAATACCAACCTCTGAGGGGAAGCTACTAACCCCGCCAGCCATCAGCACTTGGAAACAGTCTTGTCTGTTCCTGGCAGCAGTCGAGAAGCTCCGAGGTTGTGAAAGCGGATGTTGATGACAAGTGCATTGCAGAAGTCGACTTCAACGTGCCAGGCTCCTGCAGCTGCAGAGAACCTGCCATCATATCTATGAAACGTTTCACGTTTGAGCTTGCCAGCATTTTTGCTATCATGGAACCAACTTCAGCTTGCATACTGCGTTTGTGCCGGGCTGTTAGAAAAACTGGTGTTGCTCCGCAGGGTGTAATCATCTTCCTGTAGCAGTTGGATGAGTTGACGTGGCTGCTGCTGAGGCAAGCCCTCCCCACCGCCGGTCCCTTTGCAGTTGAAGCTCTGGCGACTGTTCAGTGGCGTGCTGGTTGCACAGAGTCGTCTGGTGCTCCATGTGTCCTCCGGGGTTGTTGGCTTTCTTTCATCATTGACGGTTTGTCCTGTTGAGGGTGTGTGACGCCATGGCTTGTCTACTCATGCTCGGAGGTCACGCACGACTCTTGCTTTGCTTTGTTTTGTCGTGGATAGATGCTGAAGCCATTTGGTAGTTTCCCGAAATAGGGGGACCCCAATATAGACCCCAATACTATGGTCCTTATTGTAGGGGCCCCCAAGAAAGGTACCCCTAATTTTTTGGATGTGGACTCAGGCAACGGGGCAAAGACGTCCTTCGAATTTACCGATCCAAGCGGCACAATAGCGCATCCTGGTATGCCCTTGAACGCCTGGCTGGAGCAAGCTCCGCAGGTTCAGATTCAGATAGCGTAGATAGCGCAGTGTAAGAGTAATAGTCAGAGGCATAAGAATAGTAACAGGCAAAGTACTGGTAACAGCAATGGTAAGAGTAACATAGTAACACTAGTAGCGGTAGTAGTAGACGTGTACAGATCGGCTATCGTCGTAGCGTTGGCCGTACTTTCGGTGCTTCCTGGAGTGGGCCTTGACCCTCCAGGAAGCACCCCTTTTGGAACAGAATTCTGAGATAATCTGAGCTACTGTCTGTACTCTGACTGGCTTAGCCAAGCAGGACATATTCGCAATCTGTATTGGAAGTACTGACGGTAGCTCATGCGAAGGACAGCAGTTTTCAGCAGCAAAGGATGTTGTGCGTGCCAGGGAGCAGGACCCGTAGCAGCAAGCCGATCGCGGCATTCGGCAACAGAGGCTTTCATCGCACAGGTTTGCCGGTTCGCGAGAGCTTCGCTTACTGTCTCGGCTCTCCGCACAGAAGAGTAGTAGTTGTCCTGACATTGGACTTACCAACCCAGGGTTAGTAACCTGGGGTTAGGAGGGACGTGTCTGTGAGATGAGCAGCATGTGTAAGGGCAACAACACTAGCTTTGCGACAAGACTTCAACATACTTCAACCTTTGAATGCCTAGACTTCTTTGAACTTTGAACCCGGTTGCTTGAAAAAACTGTGTCTGAGATGAAAACCAAAGCATGAACTCCAAAGTGTTAGTGAACAACTGTCGCCATGCCTTGTGCGTGTCGTGCCGGCTAAGCCGCACCATGCGCAGGCCTAACCTGTGGCTCACTCAGCATCTATACGGCACTCTTGAGGGCTTTCAGACAGTATCCTTCTAATGGGTGCCCGCTTTGCATGCTTGCAATGACTTGCAGCAATGGCGCAGATTGGACTTGCGTAGCCAATGTGCCAAATTTAGTGCTTGATGAACTTGCATGCTTGAGGTGGAAGTTCGATTCCAAAAGCATTTCCAAACGGCACGCTGATGCAACTCTCCAACCGCCTACCCTGTGACATGATCCTGTTGCCAGGATTTGGAGTATTTGGATTTTTTGGGCACTCTGCGGTGCTGAAGAAGATAGGCCTGACTGCCTCATCCTTTCGCACTGGGACAATGACACAGCCTGAAAAGTAGGTAGGTGGGTTTCAGTTTTAGTTGTCATGATATTCATGAAGTCATGAGACTTGCAGCACTGCATCCCATCCTAAGCCAAAGGCAGTGAGTCAGGACCGGAGGGAGACGTGTTTGACTGCATATTCGCTGCAGCTTGTAGGTCAGATAGTTGCGCAGGTTTGGCATATGCGACGGTTTTTACTGACATGACATGTCTGCTCAAATCTACTCGTCCCTAAAGACAGGCAAGGAGGCTGTTGTAGAAGCTTGGGGTATCCGATCCGTGGATGCAAGTTTGTGGCCTCGTTACTTTGATCGGGTTGGCAGGCCCTCATAGATCTGTTCTGGCATTCAAGAAGGGGTCATAAGACAACGCAGAGTGACTGCCACTGAAATTGGACGCAGCAAGGTATAGTATCCCTGAGTATCCCCTTTGGGCTACAATATTCCCAGCCTTGGCCTTTGAGTATGTTCTTTTTTATAGCGGTAAGTTTTTATAATCAGGCTCTCCCTAATATAGCTCACAATCGTAACACTACGTTATCGGCGTCCAGAACAGTGATCCATGTTTCTTGAGAAATGCACAATTTCAATAGCCAGGCAGCTGGCCACACGACTGGCACCAAACCTGGCTCTCGGGCAGCCGGTGGTCCTCTCCTCCACTGCCCAGTGGCTGCTCCGGCACTTGGAACTTTTGTTTCGTTGGGTTACATAAGAGAAGGCCTAGTTTTGAGGCATTCGCAAGAATTAGAGGGCCCTTCTTGGTGGCTTTCGAATGTGGAAGTCCTCAAATCCATGGCATCGTGCCTGGGCGCTTTGGGATGTTAAGCAGTTTTCAACCTTTTCTTCAGCATCCCTGGCAGCGGATCCCAATGTTTTGGTTTACGGTTGAGGTCCATCACGTGCGCAACGAAAGCATGGTTTTCCCTCTTGACCAGGTAATTGAGACCTTGGGTTTCTGAAAGCATTCTTTCGCCCCACAGTATTAGGAGCCCACTGACTCATCCCAGTGTCGCCCTTGTGTGCTCTTCTTTTCAACATTGAGTCAGTCTGCAAGGTTCGTCTCGGATGATGGCACAGAGACCTGGACTGGTGATGGTTTTCGTGCCACAGACGGCGACTTTGGCACCGCCTTTTTCTTCGGCATGGGCTGCGCTGAGACACAGGTGCAAGCTGAAAAAGGGTGAACACATGTTGATTTATCGTTTTTTTTTCCGCGCCGTTGCCAATATCGTGACACCCTGCATTTTGGAGCCGTCAGAAGGACGCTGGGTTGGACAACTCCGCGTCCTAGAAACGGATCCAGAGTTAAGGGCTCCACTGCATTGCCTCACTGAAAATGCTGTCTCTAAGGGTCAATGTGAGCTAGAGTTTGCATCAGGAGTTTAGGCAATCCTGGAAGGGATGCTGTCTGAAGCACATGAAAACATCGATGATGCGAAGTAAGATTTGGGAGGCCGCAAGAAAGAGAGTAAGTCCGATTGGACACGGCCAGGTGATGCCCAATCCATGGCTGCGAGTAGATCTGGGCCGAGAGGCCAGGACAATCTTTGCCATCAACGTCCTGTCATGATGATGGCTGTTTTCACGTAAGGCAGAGACCTCTTTTATTTGATACGTTGAAAGGGGTGATGCCTTAAGAAAAGGAGCAGCACAAACTGACGAGACTGCTGCGGTACTGTACGGGTGTTAGTCTGGTGGCATTTGTTCTATTCGGTGCTTCTGTTATTGAGGCGACCAAATGATCAAATAGAAGACGATCATCAGAATGCTGTGTCTTTTTGATGTGTGCGTGACACGTAGGGAAGACCTTGAGTGGGAGGACCCCAAAAACTCTAGATGGTATTTTCAACTACCCCTATATATCCCCTAAAGTTATAATAGTTTCCATTTTCTTTTCCACTATCCCAACATAACCCCAACATACTTGAGTAGTATATAACCCCTGTAGTTCGTGCCCGCTCCTAGACTTGTCTTCCGAAGCCGCAACTTTCAGACCATGTAGGCGCCACAGCTTCATTCAGAGCATGGCAATCCGATGCCTTGATTTGAGGAATCCACCAGAATGAATTACTTTTCTTCTTCTTACTACTACTAGTCTTATTTTATTATTGCTATTTTTCTGATTATTTTTTGTTATCTTGCTTTTTCACTTTTGTCGTCACAGTTTTTCGCAGAAGGCCAGAATTTCGCAGATCTATATTCTTGATCTAATGCTAAACCCTAAGCCTTGTATTCTTGCTGGTTAGACGTGCCTTGGTGGCTGTACGCTGGGGTAGTAATAATAGTGATAATAATAGTTATAACAGTTACAATAGATATAACAATCGCTATACTAGTTATAATAGGCAATATGATAAGTTCCCTCCAGCGAAGTAGAGGTCCCTGTGGCTGTGGTGCGGATAATGACGCGCAGCGACAGCGTTGACACAGGCTTAGGCCTGCTGCTCAAAAATTGAGCATGCATTACATTTGTTACCAAAACTTAGGGGTGTTTTTTGGGCGTCTCTATACTTGGCCATAACGAGGATGAGAGTATATTTGGGGGGTTTTCCTACTTTTTGTGACCCAACTTGATCAACTTGGGCAATGATCATGCAACCAGGTTGATGCAGCTCTTTGTGTGCAACCTCTGCTTGGCTTTAGGTCCTCTGGACATCCGCCTGGGCAATGCCATCATCACCTGGCGAGAAAACCTGGTCTGTGCTGAAGCTGTGCAGCTGGACAGACTGAGACAGCCCAATATGTTCAACTGCTTGGCTTCAGGCAGGGCTTCTAAAGTAAGTGCAGGGAGCTGCAGAAGAGCTTGGACATGTTGATGTTGGAGCCATCCCATCCTTGCATTCTGTTGTGGGGATACTTCTTGAGTTATCGTGAAGTGTCAAGGTTTGAACGACATGCCACAATGCGTGTATGTTATCCCAGAGCACAGGCAGAGCCGCCTATGCATGCAAATTCCACATAACAGCTGCTTCGGGGATGGGAAAGCAGGCCGGACATGGTGGAAAGCCAGTATCCAAAAGCTCAGTGAGTTTCTCACAAAACAGTAGCTTGCAACAGGTTGCCTATGAACCGTGTTGGGAGCGCCACCACCACCGCCACCATCATTATTTTTGCTACTGTGACAACAACCATTACTCTACTTCTCCTCCTCCTCCCCCTCCCGCTGCTACTGCTACGACCGCTAGCTAGTGGTTCGGTGTCTGACAGGAATTTCTCCGGCAAAATTGTTCCCACTCGTGATTCCATGTCAGTTGGTTTCGCCTAAATCTGGAAATCAGAGTGCCGTTCCGGCTTGTATGTCAGCATGGCTACATCCGCTGGGTTTTGCACAGACCTTTTGACAGACGCATCTTCAAAAAGACATAAGTTGTTGATCCAGGTTGTGAGTAAGGGATGGCTGGACATATATACAACTGTGCCAACAGAGATGCTCCAAAAAAATTGACTGCGCCCCAGTAAGAGGAAAGCAAATCATGCGGCTCTGTTCACCTGGCACCTTTTGTCTTAAAAGTCACGCTTGGTAGTATGTGGTAACCGTCGTAGGGTAGGGCGTAGGAGGAGGATTGGTAGTGGTGGTGGTAGTGTTGGTCGTGTTGGTAGTGGTGGTGGTGGTGGTGGTGGTGGTGGTGGTGGTGGGTGGTGGTGGTGGTGGTGGTGGTGGTGGTGGTGGTGGTGGTGGTGGTGGTGGTGGTGGTGGTGTTGGTGGTGGAGGTGGAGGTGGAGGTGGTGGTGGTGGCAGTGGTGGCGGTGGTGATGAT